AGCTGTTACGTAATCTTCCATGTTCTTATAATTATATCGATGATTATATGATAACTCTGTCAGGGCTTACGAAATAGCCATATATAGGAGGACAAATTGCAGACATTGTTAACAATAACATATTAGCTTAACTAAGCAATAAATGAACTGAGTATAATTTACTTATAGTACTACTAAAGTGTTTGAAACAGTAAATACAATATGTACAGGTCAATATTGATGTGTATGCTTTCTTTGATAAAATGGATATATAAGCCAAAGTTTACAAGAAAGAGTCCACGTAGACAATATATTAATAATTTGTTCACAAATATATTGTGTACGATATTACTTGGGCATGAAAAAATGCTAAGTTTGTTTACATGTCTGTTTGAGAAATATTTATCTGTTAAATTTGAGTGGTGGGTGCCCAAATCGTGTTGACATAAGGCCAGATTATTATTTTTTGGTCTATTTTCTATATAAAGAATCAGGTTTAGACGTACAGCTACCCCCTTCCGTTATCCCACGGGGTAATAGTTTTCTGTAAATGACCATGGAACTTAATCATGTGTAATTAAATATGGTACTTATGGAAAATTGAATAGAAGGTACATGAAATGCATGCCATATTTGGTCTACTTATAGTTAAAATTCCCGATCTGTGCCGTACATGTTGGTGGCTCACATCGAGGTTTTCGTGTTAACATTATTTGTTGTTTAACGCCGCACGCAGCAATATTCCAGGCCGTCTGTTAATAATCGAGTTTAGACAATCCCGTGATTGATATCACGAGCATCGATCTACACAACTGGTAAACGATGACATGCATCAACCGAGTCAGCGAGCATGACCACCCAATTCCGTTAGTTATAACTCGGATCTGCACAGGGTCTGACCCATTCCGTTATATACACGGCACTGTCGCAATTCGTCATAATTCGTTGTGTTTTGAAGTTTTTAAAAATACAATTTCAACATTTTTTAATTATAGTATAATACTATTTAAAAAATATCACAGATACACTGATAGCGATTATAAAAGATTTGATTTAAAAAATCAAAAGAAACCCATTTTACTTATTTCTGGACGGCGGAATAAAAAAAAACGCTTTTCATAATCTTTCCACATTTTAATTTTTGCGAGTCGGCGGATAATTAAGTCATTAAAAAAGTCTGGGCAAATTTTAAAAGACATTTCAATAAAGATGTATCATGCAATTCCATGACCTAGAACATTGTTCTCAGAACACTAAACCATCGCACAAATACATTTATTAAAAGATGACCCGCAGAGAAAAAAACAACCCGGGAACTGTTTTTGTCACATAAGGAATAGAAACAATTTTAATGGTGTCAATAAAATGCCATTTATTTTCCCCTCTATTCCCCCGACACTTCCACAGGGGATTTCCCGATATGTTCTCTATTTTGCGCGTGCCAGTTCGGCATCTGCCGTCATATACTTGCATGTTTTTATTACATTGTGGTGGAACACAAATTATTGAGTAACACATGAGTACATGAAACAAAATGGCATGGTTCCACAGAAACTGCTAAACTTTATAGGAATCATGGGCATGAAATAGGTAAGAACCGTTGTATTTTGTGTTTATAGAAGAACATGCAGTGGCATCTTTATTGTGAAATGAAACTGTAACAGGCGCTCGGTTTTCGTGCGCATAATCTATAGATTGATAAGCCTACATAAAGACAATTTCATCATAATCTGTAATACAAATATGTTACGTAGATATGGACAAGAATCAATTACCTTATGTTCACTTCATATATATCAGGACAGGTAAGTATTTTCTATTTTTTATATGGACAACATGGACTTTCGTCACACCATGATAACAGGTGTTAACCATTTAATAATACCAGTCCATGTGAAGGAAGTCAGGTTTGGGTTAAGGTTTATTGAGTGGATATTAATTTAGCAGCACTATCTACAGTTAACAGATGATATGGTCCTATGAATATTAGTGAATATTACCCTTGAAATGTTTGCAAGTTTGTATTTCAATGTACAACACTTAACAGTACAAAGATAAGTCCATTGGTCTAAGGTGTTCCATCGTTCTGTGCAGAGTTGCATCCCTTTATTCTGCCATGATCTGCTGGTTATGGGTAAGATTCAATGATTCACTCCGCTTATGATCTTTGATCTGTCAGCACGTTTCAATTTAGTACAAATGGAAAAACATGGAAAATGTTGGTATTTTTGTAAGGATTGCCAAATTTCAAAACTTTAAAAAAATGTGACTATTTGTGACTATGCTGTCATAAGAGGCAACTAAATGGATGGGGTGGTCAGTTGATTGTATGTCATCATTTCTGGTACCATGGGAGATTGTTCATAACATCAATCACTGGTTTGTGTGGTCCAGACTTGATCATATTCAGGCTGTCATCATATAACTGGTATATTATTGTGTTACATTAGATAATAAACACAACATACAAAGGATAAAATCCCAGTATTACCAGATCTACCTACGTCAACATGATCAAGTGTGTGTTGTTCTAATAATTAATTTCATCAATGATGGTTTGATTTCAAGGACTGATCTCAAGGAATATGTTGAAATCTGTGATCGATTATTTTCCATTTTAATTGATTAGTCAAATTTAAAATGTTTGAGTTTGTGAGGAATAATAAAATTACCATATTATCTTGTGTGTGATATGCACATGAGTATAATTATGCTCACCCATTTGGGGAGTCCAGTTTACAGAAAATATGCTTTATTGTGTACATGGTGCACAGTTCACAGCCAAAACTCATATTGTTTCACTTCTACTCAGGTGAATACACATGCTCGTAGGTTTCACCAAAGTGGTAAACGTCTGAGACCTGCATCACTTTGGGCTTTCCTCCCACATTAAGCTGACACGCCATGATATAACTGGAATACTGTTAAAAGCGGCGTTAAACCCAACTCACTCACTTACTCACTTACTCTACTCAGGTGAACAAGACATATGCAAATGTTGTGATGAAAGATAACGAGATGTGATTTTGTACTATTGTTATTGTACTGTCCGTTACACTAAACATTTGTACATATGAATTGTTTGATCATGTTGATAGGCATTACTTAGAAGTTGATGGATGACTAAGTAGACACAAATTATGGATAACACTTTTAATACTGTAAAGGCAATAAGGAAGAGAATATATGGATGTCATCTTCTTTACTATGAGGAACACTACGTTTTGGAGTACTGTATTCAACGTAATAAGCGCCCAGGGCGCTCTCAAAATTAGAAATAGGGGGCTCTTATTAGAATATTATTTTGAGTTGAAAGATCGTAAATTTCGTGGTTTATGCTGACAGCCTGAAATGTTTATATACGACAGATATATTTTTCCAGGATTTAATTGCCCATAATTAAGGGTGCATATAACATACGAGTGCGTATTATACACAAATGAATAAGTCTTGTGTACGTAAACCAATTGGAAGGGGTGCTAATTGAGATTGTTCACTAGCCAATATATTGGCAAATATCGCCGTGGGCGCTTATTAGAGCAGGGCGCTTATTACGTCGAATACGGTATATACTTACTCCTTCTACTCCTACAATTTTTAAATGATTTCCTGGTGTAAATACAATTGGCAATATTTGGTGATTTCCTTTGACTGTATCATGTGTATCTTACAGACTTTTGACAAGATATTAAAGACTGCACGAAATACATTTGAATGTACTCCACTAATTTTTATTTCTTGAAGCCTACTGCTGTAACTATATTGCCAAGAGTAATTACCAACATTGAACATGTTGAAAGTGAAAAAAATCTCTGAGAAGCAAAAATTATAAGCGGACATGACTTACATTTCATCATGATGATAGTCAATGATAGTACAAATGAACCAAAGCCCAAATTATCTAAATATAAACCACCACCATGCATTCCCACTGGTCTGGGTTAATATGTGATGAGATAATAAACTTAATAACAATTCTTTATGGTTCAAGGGTTTTAGTAAGCAGCAACCTTTAATTATGTCATTTAAAATTTTGAGATAATGGATAAGCTGCCTTTTGTTATTATTACTGGGTAATATAGACAAGGCAAACCTAAATTAAAATTGGCACACCTGAAAAACAGGTCCAGTGCCCTTGGGCACACCTGCTTATTTTCTAATTTCGAGCCCTTGTAAGGCTCTCTGACTTGTTTGATGCATGTCAAAGTAGTTGAGCGTTTGCCTTAGAGCTGAAGGTCCGGGTTTGATCCCCTGTCGCGTCATACCAAAAGATGTTAAAAGATGGTACTTGTTGTTTTCCTGCCTGGCGCTCATGATATTAAAGACTGGATTGTCTGGTCCAGGCTTGATTATTGAGAGACCACCGTCATATAACTGGAATATTGCTGAGTATGGCGTTTAAAAACCAACCAACCAACCAACCAGTCATTCCATTTTCAACCTCTACAATCATATGCATGCTTTAAATCTTGAAATTAATGTGTCTCCAAATTAATATGACTGCTGACTCCTAGCCAAAAATGTGACTCAATATCAATGCGAATACCCCCACACCATCCCCAGTGGAATGATATATATCCTTACCTTAATCAAACTTTACCTTCATCCAATCAAACAGCAAATGGCACCGCTTATCAGCGCTGAGTAGATCACTTCCATAAAAACAATAAAAAACCAAAAAAAACCAATAAACAGTGTTTTCCTAAAACTTTTGACCCCACAGTGATAACTCACCTGATGCCTTTTGTGTAATTGTTACAATAAACCGTGTTTGTGTTTATATTCAAGTTGGTATTTCCGCTAATCAAAGTGTGCAGTGAGGCCGTCTTATTGTTGATAGTCATTTTGGAGACATAAATGCTAAGTTTTATTTATGCGAACAAAGACAAAATGCATATTTCACATTTAATTCAAGATTTGTATGTATGTGACTATTTGTTTTGGTGTTGTCAACACTTTGCAGACAGCTGAAATTTAACATTTACACTTTGCAGACATTCCTTTCATGAGAGCTGAAATTAAATACATTGCATTAACTGCTGTCAACAAAGCCCTGTTTCTCTATACATGCTATAGGCTTGGAACACGGGAAGCATAACATGTAAGTTTCTTTTGTCAATCTTTAGCTATCACAGGCTTGCATTGACACTAACTGCTCTTTGGAAGTACATTTGAAATTGATGACTGTGCAGTTTTCATTGTCCCTGTAATACCTGTACATGTTTTTTTAGTTTATGACATGTTTACGGCACAGCTCACCAGGTGTAGACCATTTAGACACGCTTGGCTTCCTGGTGAGAATTGTTTAGAAAATACAGTTTTTCTCACCACGATAGTGAGATTTGAACTTTGAACTGATGAGTCTGTAGCTAGAAAGATTTCCTTGTCAGCAGTAGTCTAGCTTGGCCTTGAAGTGACATCTCAGTGTTTACAGCTGAAACTTTCCAATGAGTGCTCCTGCTTAAAATGCCATCATATTTACCTGTTTTACTGAAGGTACTGGTATTCTATTGTGTTTGTGATTTGATATATGTTATCTTTATCGATTGACTATTTGGTGGTTATGGATCTGTTATGATGTTTTGTGAGTCATCAGAATGATATGTATCAACAATTAAGTTACCTTTAACATTTTTCAATGCGAAGTCTGTAATAACTGTATGTTTATTTTGACATTCATCATTGTTCATCAGGCCTCAAAGTTTAAATTTTTACCAAGTAGCCATATGGCTACAAGTATTTTTTTCCAGGTAGCCAGTGGTAAAATCAAGAAGTCAAGCTAATATTGTAGGTAGCCAAAAGCATTTGAAATTATCTTTTATAACTTTTATAACTATTATAACTATTATAATATGCAAGTTATAGCACTAGTCTTGGAATTGTATATTAGTGGAAACTGTACTTGATTTTGTTACTTGTGACTCGAACAATGATGCAATTTATGTTACTAGATTATACAGGTATATCCTTGCTTATCCAATGAGCATTGCCAACTAAAATAAAGTACTAATTACATTAATATTTATGTTTATTGGTTCATTGTCGACTTTAGGAGGAATTATTTGTGAGTACAATTATAGGCAGACATGTTTTCCAAGATCAGCTGTTATTTATTTTTGTGTCTACAGATGTGTAGCAATAGAATTTAGTCACCACAAGATATTTTTCAAGGCAGTCATTTGGCTACCTCTGAATTTTAGACAGTAGACAAACTGAAATTTAGGTCGCATTGGCTACCGTTTTAGTTGCACCTTTGAGGCCTGTTCATGTTGGTGTGATTGGTCTGTAAATAATCGGGTTGGGACTAGACAATGCATTGATTGATATCATGAGCATCGATCCACGCAATTGGGAACGATGACATGCATCAGCCAAGTCAGCGAGCCTGACCACCCGATCCCATTAGTTGCCTCTTTCGACAAGCATAGTCGCCTTTTACAGCAAGCATGGGTTGCTGAAGACTTGTTCTACCCCGGATCTTCATGGGTCGCATATATACGTATGTGACTTATACATATATATGTATATGTGTATGTGACATGTATGTTTCGGTGCTGTCGACACTTTATGGACTTAAGACTTTGACTTCAGAATCATTAACGGAATCAGTCTGATACCGGTGCATGCTTCAGGGTTAGAAACTAACAGTTTTTGTCCACTAGTCCTTACAATGATAACATATAGCAAAACCCTTAAAATGGGCCAATTTCTACTAGCACTTAGGATACCTTGACTATTGGGCCGTTTGGTAAGGACTACAGGACTAGTGACAATTTCTAACGCTGTGCTGGGGTGTTTCTCAAGGTGGGATGAAGCAGGAGACACTGTTAACCCTCTTGGTGTCAACTTCCCGTAATTTGCTTTGACGTTGTGAAAACTGATATTTTTTCTCTCGATTATTTGCAAGTCCAATCATTCATGCGCATATCTCTTTTTCGGAACACATCTAAATAAATGTCATATGGTTAGAACCATGAAGGTATTTCCTGTCAAATGTTATTCATTTCAAATAACATATATTTATGACAAAGACACAGTACCGGTGTTCATGTGGTCATGGGGATGTTTCAATATTCACAAAAAGTAACAAAAAGTAAGAAAAAGACGAAATTAGGACTACTCACACTTTCAATGATGGCACCGGAATGACAATAAGCTCATTTTGCAACAACTTTTAGACTCAGCGAAAGGCAATTTAAAGATCTATTATGTCGTATAATTTTGTAACGTTGTGTGAAGAAATAAGAACGTTGTTACACTTTTTAAACAATGTATACGTTTTTGTAACCGCGACGTCAGCACAGTGAGGCACTGAGCGGTTTGCAGGCTGACTGACGTCCAGGCACCATGAGGGTTAAGGAGAACATTTAGCTGATGCATTGGTGCACAGGAACATTGACTCTATAGTACACTTGTTTGACCTGTATGATTCCGTGTCTGCAAAGTTAACCACTGCCCCAAGTGTTGGACAATTGTATTTGTCTATAAAGCTCTGCTACTAGTACTAATTAAGAAATGAAATTTGTCAAGGCATGATCAGTTGTTTATAAGATGTTTACCCCCCAAGAGTTACAGTTCAATAATGTCAATCACGAGGGAGAAAGCCAGAGTGGTGTGACATTATTACCTGGACTGCACGTTTTGAAGCCATTGGCTTAACTACAGAGTTTGCCTACTTCATATAGTAACATTTTATTATAATTTAAACCCAGGGCTAAAAAACGAAGAAGGACAAAAGTGAGTGAGTGAGTGTGGTTTAACGCCGCTTCCATCGGGAAAAGCATGTTTTTTTGTGCATTTCAATATTTCAATTCTATTATCCGAAGTCATTGCAAGTGAGGTGATAAATTTCCTACTTATTGATACCGGTAATATCTCATGATATGTGATCAGGAAACAATATCATTTGAAATAATCACAAACAACTGAAAGTGAAACAAGGCAAAACCATATTCCGCTGGTAATGCTGCTGATGTGAATGCTTTTTATACTGTTTGAGAAGTCTTAAAGACTAAATTATGATACATTATCTGTCTGACTTCAAAGCCTGCATCATTCATGGCCTAAATCGATGTCACTCTCAGTTTTCCCTAATTATTTTCAATGTTATTTTTAGACATTGAGGAATTCCCCTAAAGTAGTTCTGTATGTCTCCGCCCGATTGACAACGTAATCATGTGAGATACTGATGTCATCGGGAAATGAACGACAGTCAGCTTGGTAGTGTTCACCTAGGCGAGGTCACCCGCTACTGTCAATATTGTTGTTTGAACAAGCAAAAATAAAAAAACAAACATTGAATAATATCATTTGCTATCTTCAAACTTCACCCGTCAACTGTCAAAAGCAAGAAATTCAAATGAAATGGGTCGGTTCACCAAGAGGATTGTACAGTTTCAAGTGTTGAGTTAGCACAATGCACTAGAACACAAAATGAGCAGTGTAATGTACTATGTCACATGGGTGTGCTGTGTTTTGCTTGTAATTATAGGATTATTTTACAAAGTTACCAAGAACAAAGACACCATCATACTAATGGTGACTGTCATGACTGCTCGATGACCACACTTGACAAGGTATTTGAGAAGCACTAAATCAAGCACTTAATCATGTTAATTACATTGTTCATTGTGGGCTTTGTTGTACATGTCATTGTTTCAATGTGCAGTGAACCTGACATGCCAATACGCTCCAATGTATTAGTGTTAGAAATTGGCACTAATCCAATTGTCCTTGCCAAACTGCCCAATAGTCAAGGTATCATAAGCAGCGTTAGAAATTGGTACCAGTCTCGGCTTGGACACTCGCCCCGTGCAGACGTGTCCTTCCAAGCTCGCTACCCATGCTCAACTATGAGAGACATCGCTCAGTCGCTACCAAGGGAGCTAGTTGCCATCCTAGAGCCCTTGCTGGCTTTCAGGGTTGGGGAATACTCCCTCAGGACTTCCTACAAGTCCAACTCCTCCACCCTCTCCATCTCCTTCGACTTAGGTCAAAGGAAAAGGCCTCTGGTCAAAGCTCCGGCCAAGACCAAGCCTAAGGAGAAAACCACCCCGGCCCCTATCCCTGCTGCACCACGCCCGGTACGGAAGGCCAGGCCGCCCAAAGTGAAGAAGGCTCCACCAGTCGCCGCCATGGAGATCCAGGAGAGCCTACCCACCACCCCTCCGCCCCCAACAGCAGCATTGGAACTCGCTCCCCTCGAATCCAGAGGGGAGGAGCCCTTTCGCATACCTGTAGGGACAGGACACGGAAGGAAGAAGAGAAAGAGGAAAAGTATCTTCTCCCCTGACTCTCCCTCCCTCCCATCACCACCTACAAGCAAGACCACGGAAACACAGACCGCCGTAACACCAGGCCCCTCCCTCAACACCAGCCAATTCCAAACCGACCCGGTTCCGGAACCAGTTGTTGAGGAAGACGTCCGTGTCGACCTTGCCCAGAAGGCCAGCCTCATCCTGGAGCAGCACAAGGTCCACCCTAACCCCTGCTACCAGCATGAGAGCGGCAAGGTATACCCCAGCAACCGCCCACGCCCACCCATGGTGCTGGTGCAGTACTGGGGAGAAGAGACTTGAACATGAAATCCACAGCTACCAGGATCTCTGGGATTTCCTGGTCGACTGCGATCTTCAAGTCAGCCCCCTCTTCATCACCAACGCCGCCGCCCGCCTCACCACCGCACTGTTCCAAGCTCTCCCTCCAGGGGAGCTTGACCTAGACAGGAGGCTCCTGGCTGGGGAGAAACAGTAAGCTCCAGCTCCCACCACCACACCAGCTAGCCAGCCGATGCCGTGCCTTCCTACGCCTGACCCCCTCCCCCCCCCCACCCAAGCCCAACTTTTCTATATTATTATTATTCTCTTATCACCCCCTCCCTCCCAGCCAAAACCCAACCCCCTAGATTATCATTTTAGGTTTACCTAATTTTCATTTTTTTGGGTCGCACTTCTTTATTTATTCATTATGCTTTTTTTCCCCAATAGTATAAGTGCTTCCCCGTGTGCGAGATATGCTAAAGTGTAATTTATTACATGCGGAAAGCGCACGTTAAATCTCCGAATGAACGAACGAACGGTACCAGTCCTGTAGTCTTTGCCAAACTGCCCAATGGTTAAGGTATCATAAGGACTAGTGGAAATTTTCCATTTATAAGAGTTTTGCTATATGTTATCATCATAAGGACTAGTGGACTAAAAGTGTTAGTTTCTACCGCTTATAAGGATTATTAGTAGTGCCCTTTTAAAGGATTTTTCTCTGTGTTGTCATTATAAGGACTAGTGGACTAAAACTGTTAGTTTCTACTGCTGTATAATATCCAGATAAAAATATGTCACTCTATTATTAGTATTAATGAGATCAAGGTAGACTCACAATTTTTGCATTGATTTAATGATTTACAGTATATGATCTATGTGGTTTTATCAATACTAATCCACTATCGCTCAGTCAGGTAGTACAGGTGAACAATTAAATCCGTCTCGGTAGGTATTCCTGTCAGCATGTAGGAGTCCATTAGCTTGAATGCAGTGACACATGTCTGGAGTGCTATTGCTGATGTACGCATGACCCAACATACATTTCAGATGACAGAAGCCGCGTGCCCCTGGTGAGATGAGCGTGACCTAATTACCTGGTCCGTCATCGGAGTCGGAGCAGGCTGCTTCTGCAGCCACATTCCAGCCTCCATCACCTGTCCCATGGAGAGCATCCCCCATGCCGGCTCACTGCTCACATCTATCGGTATGTATCGTACCCCTACATCATAAAGCCTTGCTGACCTTGCTGGGACTATTTGCATGACGTTAACTCTGGCCGAATAAATGTTTTTTGTTCACTTTTTATTTTCTTGGCTCTGAATTTTTATCGCTGGATCATGTTGACATGGTTGATGGGCCTCCATACAACGTCTGATAATCTGATATCATCCTCACATATAATATGACCACCTCCTTGATCAGCATGATCAGTTGGATAGAGCATCTTCGTGGAGAGCTGAAGGTCGGTGGTTAGATTCCTGGCTGTGTCATATGAAAAGACGTTGAAAATGGTACTTATTGTTAACCTGCCTGACGATCGACATTAAGGTGATAAAACAAGGAGTGTGTCTGAGTGGGGTATCCATGTTGAACTAGGGCATGATATCACAGTGGTCTAGTAATATAAGCTGGCATTAGTCTGAACTAGAAGAAGCATGCACACGGTGGTGCATGCACACACATACGCAATCGTCAATAAAACCGAATTTCACGACCATATTGATTTGTTGATTGGATTCAGTTACCCAGTTGCTGGCGTGATATCATACCCCAACGGTGTGAATGGTTATTCACAATATCAATCACCAGTCCAGACTTGATTATTTACCGGCAACCGTCATGTTGCTGGAATATTGCTGAGTGTGGTATTAAACGACAAACAAACAAAACCATATATATTTGAGGAAGAGAACTTAAGTGTTGGCTTTCCATGTTCTGTTGCTAATCACCTATGGTATCATCTGTTGGCTTCCTTTGTTAGCTTCTACCCTATGTTGTTTTCCACCTTTTGTTATCTTATTAATTTTTTTTTTACGTATACATGCTCTCTGCCTAATGGCATTCATTCACCTGATGAAGGAGTAAGCATATACTCCAAAATGTTGTGTTCCTCATAATACAGAAGTTGACATCCATATATTCTCTTCCTTATGTGTATCACTTCTAAATGCCTTTCAAAGACCTCATATATATATTATTTCTTAGGGCAAAAACAGGTTCATATAGGGGTTGAAATTATCAGTTTCATCTATTTGATAGGAAGGTAAGAGAGTAAGGCTAGCAGGATGACATGGCCACAAGCTTTCTCCATATATCTAGTTATGTTGCATAAGCCGCTGGTCCAAAGTGAGCTGTGTCAAGTTGGATTTCGCTCGGGTGTTTCCCCTTGGCTTAGGTAATCGGATCCCCACAATTGTTCTTTCTCCCATGGAGAATGAAGTTTCCAGACAAGTGAAGAGTTCTCACATTGACAGTACTTTCAACCCTACTTGTCTCAATGTACATAATGAATTTTATTCTTGTCAAAATGTATGGTAATGGGAGTGAATTGTCCCAGATGAAGGACGGCTTTAATGTAAATCTGGGACACGACTGCCCGAGGCAGGGAGCTTCCGTTGTTGTCTGGCATGTTTAGTATGTGAACTTTTACATGTTCTAGAAGGTAAGCTTTTCATGTAGGACATATTTACTCTCTTTATTTATATCAAACGATAAGAGTAGAATCTCCGTATTTTTGTGTAGGTACTGTTTTTTGTTTGAGATGCACGAGTAACTTATTACATTAGAGCTACAGATATGCAGCGTATTTGCGTAAAATAACCCCCCAAATTTTCAAAACCCAATTACTCTTAATTAACTCGCGTACAGAAACACATGCATTAAAGGAAAAACTCAAATGTATAAAAACAGCTCGCGTAAATATCCAATGAAGCTTTTTTAACATGTGTACAAAGGACCTAATTTCCGAAACACAATTACGAGCTATATATTAAGAGCAAAATTTCATTTTTTTTTAAATCTTAAAATGTTCACTCATTTTGGGAAAAACCCAATAGAGTGATGAATAGATGAGTGAAAAAATATTGTAATAACCCAATTAAAATGGAAACCAAAGAGTAAAAACTCAAATGCTCAAAAGTCAATTAGAGCTCTGAACATTGAATATTTTTTATATCTAGTGCAGTCTAACCATTTAAAGGGGGACACGGGTGGCCCAGTCGTCTAAGGCGCCGCAATTCGCTGTGCAGAGTTGCGACCCTCGGGCACGCCAGAAACCTATGGTTGTTGGTTCGAATCCCAGTTCGCCCCGATTATGTTTCTATGTTTGTCAGCACCATACCCGGGCTCGTGGGTAAACATACTTGAAAATAGAAGTTCCATCATGGCGTGCGACCTCATCAGTGACATTCGTTGTAGCCACATTTCAGTGACCACGTACCGGTATTTTGTATCTACTTTGGTAATAAAACATTTCATTTACTTACGAAAACATTTAATTCAAGCCGTTGAGTGGGGAGCAAGCCCCCCAAACCCCCTGTTATTTTAGCAAGGCAACAAAAATGGCACCTGAAAAAACTTCAAAACTGCTACTAAGGATTGAGCTTGTGTACTGTACATGATAGTTATTCAGCTTGATGTGCATATATATCCAGTAACTTTCTTGGTGGCATGGGACTTTCTGTTTTTCTTAAATTTATGTGTTTTCTTTGACCACAAGGAACGTAATTAAACCGGAATAATATCTAGTATTACCAATAAACATGAAAATCTATACATAATTTAAAATTAAAAATTTGTATTTGAAAATGTGGTTTGTTTGTTTGAGTAGAGTAATCATGTTAAAGACAGTCTTCTCTTCCAAATTTACATTAAGGATATTGGTAGCCTATTCCAAACCATGTGAGTCTACAATCCTGAACTTGCTATGTGGCATCATTTTCAGCATGCTAGCTTTTAGTGTTTATATATGGATAAAACTTGACAAATAGGATGTAAACATTTCCCAATTGATGTTAGTATAGTTATTACTAATATGATATCTGGCTCATGGTGAACTGTATGTTACTGATCACAGGACACGAGTAGGAGTCTTTAACATGTTTAATGGTTAATTTTACATTATTCAATTGAGTGCCATGTTAAAATACAATGTTAAAATATAATACATTAAGAACATTTTTTTTTACAGAAATCCTAATTTTTAACAATTTAACAATTATACTGAAGAAAAGAGTATGGGATCATGAATATTTTGGGGGATGTATTTTGAAATTGTGTGCTCAGTTTTCACTGCTTGTCGTAAAAGGCGACTAACGGAATCAGGTGGTCAGGCTCGCAGACTTGGTGGATGCATATCATCGTATCCCAATTACGTGGATCGATGTTCATGATGTCAAGCACTGGATTGTCTGGTCCAGACTCGATTATTTACAGACGGCCGTGATATGGCTGTAATATTGCTGAGTGCGGCGTTAAACAACAAACAAACCAAACCAAACTTCACTACAAAAAGAATATCCCCCAAAATAGTCATGTTCCTTAACTTTCTTTACTTCAGTGTATTTCCCATACTGCCAAGGGCACTGAGTTGGGAATCCTAGATAAATCCCTGGTAGATATGGGTTGTAGAACAATGATCATGATGCTTGAAAGCACGGTACAAGGACACGGTCAGAGAATGTACAAGAGAAAGGCATCAGTCAGATGGGGTGTGTGGTTGGGGGGCCTGCCTGTCTGCCCATGTGGACATGATAAAGAGGAAGCCAACACTGTGGTCCTGTAATGAGGTTTGTGAAGGAAGATAGATGGACATTATCTAGCTGGGACATAACTCTCTGTGTGACTGGGAGGCTGAGGGGCCTGAAGATAACCCTGCATTGTTGTTGGTGATATATGTGTGACAGGTGTGGTGTAAACACAGGTGGGTGTGGCCAGCACACTTATTGCTCATCCTTGTTAGTGTTGAGTGGAACAAATTAATGCATGTGAATAAGCCTCCAAAGATAACACTGTTTGTCATGTTTACACTCACAACATGTGCTTGGAATTATGGCATCAATGGAGCTTCAGTAACAGTGTCAGTGTATATCAATGTATGGTCAAGGTTGAATGTAGCATGTGTTTGTTGGGGTAGGGGGGATGGGGAGGGCGGGCGGGCGGATAGATAAAAAACAAAAGTCCAAGATGGTCTATATCATTTCCTCTACTGGTCTCACCATTGTGATATTTAAAAGTACATGTATTCAATGACAACACAGTACACAGCACTGGTCCAAGTGGCCTTTAATGTGGCCTTTACACAGGATGACGACCTTTGTGCCTCCCGTGTGCGACCATAAAAATTGCCAGGTCGTCGTTGGAGGATTAAAGGAGGCAGAATGATTGCCTTGGTTGTTCCAAGGTGGAACACAGGAGGTTCAGACATCGCCATGGAATTTATGAACATGTTACAAATAGTTGCACAAAGGTCGCCGAGGAGGTTGGTTGCTCAAAGGAGGCAGAAGGGAGGCAGAAGCATTGCCGTTGTTTCAGAATGAAGGCACAGTGGTCGCCCAATGGTCGCCAGGTAATAGATGCGAACTGCTGCAAATTTTCCCGTCAATCAGGGCGATGCTTTTGCCTCCCTTGTGCCTCCTTTTGGCGACCAACAACGTGCATTGAACGACGACTGTGGCGACTACTGTGCCTCCATTCAGCGACCATGGCAACTCTTGAGAGTCTCAAGTTGAGACATCACCTCTTTTCTGTATCTGCAGTGTTTCATTGTGGTTGCAGACTCTGAACAACTCGAGCAGTTACTGCTGAACAACTGCTGGAGCAGTTACACAGAAACATGATTTTCTGGGTTTAGGCGACCATTGAGCGTCATGGCCAGTTTTTGATTGCTCAAAGGTGGCACAAAGGTTGCAGCCCTGTGTAAAGGGTTCTTAAGCTATACCAACACCAACATCAGTACACAAGCAATGGTACACCTTGCAACCATTACTGTATATCCTACAAATGAAATTTATGCATGAAAAAGAAGACATAAAGAGAGCCTGGAGTGTGGAATGAGATCAACCGGAAGCAATAATGAAATAGAGGAGAATACAATGAACAAAAACCACACACACACACCATGGGCCAGGCCACAAAGTTGCGACTAAATTGGTCGCCATGGCGATCTAGTTTTGTATTTTGCGACTGGTATTTTCATGTCAGTCG